AAAAAAAAAAAAAAGAAAGAAAAGTTTCTCGTCATAACGATGCAGGGGGAGAGACAAAGAGGCTGGTTTTTATCGAGCTTCATTCTTCTTGGAGATTGGTTATTTATTAGAAGTCTGGCGAGCGTCTGGATGCTCTTTTTCATCGGAAGGGGGCACGAGTGCCCTTTCAGTTGGACGAGCATCGCAGAATGAAGCGAGCCAGAAACGATAGGACTTGAAATCCGAGGGAAAATCTGGAGTCTCGAGCTATGGCTCGAGCGACAAGAAAATCGATAAGAGCCTCCCATCCCCAAGTAGAACCCTCGCTCTATTTCCTTCTCTTTCTCTCTCACTCTCTCTTGACGTCCAGTTTATTTATAGATTCTCCGTCTCTGAAATTTATTTTCAGGCGTAACTGCACACGAAATCGCAGCTGATCCTTCGTCCCACGTTGCACCTATTTTTTTCTTCTTCTTTTTCTCTCCATCCCTCCCCCCCCCCACTGGTTTCTCCAGTCTTTTCTCTTTTTTCTTTTCGTCCTTGTCGCCCTGAAGGTTAACGACGGTTTTTAAGTTCAAGTCGACTGACGTTGCTTGACGTCATTATATACTAACACACTATGTACTTTTATGCTATAAAAATCATACATTTTTGGCAATGCAATTGGCAAAGTTTGTTTCACACGTTGAATATTCGAATATTTTATTCAGTGTTTCTTCGTATTAAATCCGCGATTACGAATCATAGACTTTGAAACAGGTTTATTTATTTTCATTATCCAGCGACGAAGATCATGAATCACGTTTCACACTTCACGCGATGAGTGCGATTTACAATCTTGAATAGACAAGTGTACAAATTATATGTATACTCAAAATTATTGGCTCTTCGTTCAAGTAAATCAACGGAGGAGAAAGGCGGGAAAAAAATCCCCGTTCAATGGGCATCAATGGAGGCGTAAATAGCACGGGAGAGGCAGGAAGAGTAATATTTCGAATGAAAGTACGCTACTCTGGAGATTATTCGTCGAGTTGGCCCAAATACACGAGGCAATGGAAAAAGAAAGAAAATGGACAAATGAGTGCCGCGTAACTTTCTAAGTGATACGTACAATTCAACCGAGGCTAATAAAGATGAATAAAGATCCAACCAACTTGTTCCTTTCACACAGCAACTTCATCAATTCTCATATCGTTCAAAATTCGATACGATAATTTGTCAAACAATTCATCGTGTGAATTGATTTTTTTAATGAAAGATCAGATAACAGTGGAGGAAGGATAGGTTAGGTTAAGTAAGGTTTAGGTTAGGTTAAGTGAGGTTAGGTCACTTAGGCTAGGTTAGGGTGTTACTTTTGACAATAATTGGAAATTCGTGGAATTCGAGGATCGTGGAACGTGGTTTTCATCCAATCCACGTGCTTTTTGCGTAGACCTGTAGTTCTAGGTTATCGAGGTTTGACTGTCCCCATTGTGGGATTATCGATCATGCGGTCGGTCATGGCTACAGACGTGTCGGCGGTTGCATTCAGCTGTGTTCAGCAGGACGACGGGAAGAAAAAAGGATCAATTAAAAGAAATAAAAAGATATATATTTGACTTGTGTACAGGCACTTGGAAGTTAGGCTAATACCTGGCGGTCTTAAAATTTATTATTTTCCCGTTAAAATATTTCGAAGACAATTTCCCACGAACAGAATTATAATTTAAATTGAAATGATAAATTAATTAATTTGCACATGTTGCAAATCAGCACGATATAACTTCGATTACAATTAAACTACAACGCGATAGTATAACATTGATCTGTATAATTAAGAGAGTATGATATTAAAGAGTATGATATTAAATTAAATTATTTAATTATCTGCATTTAATTTCTGGTCATTTCTGCATTTCATTTCTGGTCTAATTTATTGGAATCACCCTGTATATCAAAATAATGCATCTCCAGCCATAGTGAACTGTCGAACTGTCGAACAGGAATAGCGAACGAATTTATACTGACTAAATGGGCCCCACCCCATAGGTGACACTTTTGTTTCAGCCCTGCGTGGGCGGGCTCACGCGTATCAAGAAGCCGCGATAAAATAAAGAAAAAGAAGGGGAAAATCTGGAAACGAACGAAAGAGACCGCTAAAAACCGTAACCACGGTGCCACGACTAGTGAATGACAAACGATCATTCTCAAACTTGTTCCAACTTCTATCTACCTCGTAACGTTTGTCTGTGTATTTAAAAAAAAAAAAAAAAAAAAAAAAAACACTCGACAGAAACTGTGCGAATGGTGAAAGCAGTGTGTCTTTTTGAATTCTGAGGGAACACTTTGAATAGTTGAATTATCTTTGACACGCCAAGCGAGCGAAATTGTTAGAAATTGTGTCGGTTGCCTTGGTACTTTTTTTTTTCTTTTGAGGAGAAAGTTTATTGTTGGAATTTTCGCCGAAAGTTTCGCCAAATTATGAAACATCGTGCCACAAGGTAGAAAAATTCTCTGCTCCTTGGAAAAATATTTCAGTCGGAACTATTGAAAAAAGTTTCCAGCCGCTGAAACTGTTCGGATGATATATTTTTAAATTCCCAGAGAGTTCCTCGCGCGAGGTAAAAAAAAAAAAAAATATCCGTAGTATAAACTTCGAAAATACTGCCACAGGTATTTCTAGATTCTGGAAGAATTCTTTGCTCAATATAAATACTTCAAAAAAATATAAATACTTCAAAAAAAAAAAAAAAAAAAAAAAAAATCTCAAAATTATCAAAAACACCAGCAGAAGGTGTCAGTGCAATTGTTGAAAAAAAATTCTCGAAGATTCTCTGATCGAAGATGGAGACGAAGGGTAACAGGCCACCTGTGAAGGATTCTGTTTTCGAGCTGAGGACGAGGATGGCTCGAATGATGTCCATTGTTGATATTACGTCGCACAACAGACTTCCGGTACCGGCATGCACTCGTGATAACGTTAATTGCCAACAGTGTTGCTGGTGGACACGTCGTGGATAGTTCGTAGCGAACCAATCGTCGAGAATGTGTCGTGCTGGGCAAAGAAAATCGCAAAACCTCGATCGAAATTGAAAAATTCGTTTGCTGATCTTCGACTGTCTTCGATCATGGAG